GCAGAGACCAGCCCCAACCTGTTGCTGCCTGCGCCCCCAGATTAGCATGAGCAGGCAGGCCCTGGACCCATGAGGAGTTTCATTAACAGTGCTCGTGGGGCTGTGCTGTGTCCAGGAGCCGCCACAGGAACCTGGCATCTCCCATTCTTGGGGAGCGCAGCTCGCACAGGGCCCAGGAGCTGCAGTGAGCCAGCACGGTGACAGCCACCTTCCCACACCCTGCCCGGGCTGGTGCCTCCCGGGCTGCGCCAGCCCCTCCTGGCTCGCAGGAAGGCACAGAGTAGGGTGGCCACAATCCACAGACAGCACAGCCAGGATGTGTAAGAAAACGACTGCTTTAATCAAACCGACCCTCCCACTGACCCCGCACAGGTAGAAAAGCCAAGCCCTGCAGAAACAGGGTGAGGAGATGGGCTCAGCGCTGCCCCACAGCAAAAAAAAAGGGTCCAAACTGGTAACGGGGAAAGGACAAGCGACAGGGAGATGCTGTGGACCAGACGGGTATAAAAGTCTGTTAATTCCTCCAAAAGTGGGTGCACTGGAGCCAGGGGCTTTGCTGCGCTCCCGCACAGCCCTGTCGGGCCCTGCCAAGGCTCTCAGGGCAGCTGCTGGTGGCTCGGCGGTGTGGCCACGGGCATGGCCAGCGCAGACAGGTTGTCATCCTCCGTGGACCTGGGCAGGGTCTCCGCAGCACAGGGAGCGGGACACAGCCTCGACAGGGCAGGCGTGGTGCAGGGGCACAGAGGAAAGGCTGCTCACCGCAGGCTTCCTGGCACAGTGCTGTGTCCCTTCTGCCCAGGCTCCCAGCAGCTGGCAGAGAAGTGCCCTCCTGCCCTGTCCCTTAAGTGGTCTTTCGCTTCTTGGCTGAGGGTCTCTCAAAGACATCCCGTACGCCCGCTGCTTTCTGCTTAAAGAACTTGGTGTTCTGCGCACTCTCCTGGCCCCAGGCAGAGTCGAAGGAGGTGGTGTCCTGGTCCACCAAGTGCGTGTACTTTGTCCGCCCCGAGCGCCCAAAGTTCTTGACCTGGGGAGCAGAAAAGCTTGTGAACAGCCATCCAGGGAGGACACAGGGACCCGTGGCTCCCCCCTGCCCAGCGTGTGAGCTCCTGCCACTGCCGAGGAACAGCGACCCCTCGGTGTGGCACTCAGGCCGGGTGCCCTCTGGCCAGCACACCCACCTGCATGACTTTGGGCAGGATGGTCTTGTTGAAGTGGTCCTCGAGGGTCGGGGCGCTGAAGTCCCTCTTGTACACCTCCTCATCCTCATCCTGCAGGAGAAGGACACGCCTGCTCAGCCTGCAAGTTTCCAGCAAGTGCCAGCAGCTGGCAGAAGTGGGGGAGAGCCACCAGAAGCCCGTATCGCTGCTGTGCTGGGGATTGCCACAGTGCTTGCAGTCTATTAAGCTACTGCCAAAGGTGGGGGACACGTGCCTTGTCCCCCAGGCCTGCCCCTGGCGGTCCCCTCTTGCATCCCCTCAGGCAAGCTGCTCCAGAGCCCAGGCCATAGCCCAGGCAGAGCTGGCTCAGCTCTGGCAGGGTCCGACCCAGTCCTGACTGCATTGGTGTCACCATGCCACAAGAGCTGGATGAGTTCAGATCACCTTGGTCACTTCCCAGTGGGCTTGTGCAGCCCCGCCAGTGCGCGGGCCCAGCCCCCGCTGCCAGCACAGGCGTGCCCAGGGCCCCACAGCAGCACTCACCATGAAGAAGGCACCGCGGTGGTAGTACTTCTGCAGGAACTTGTATTTGCCCTTCACCGCCTTGTTGGTGATGACCTTGCCGTTGGCCCGAAGCTCAGCCCGGCGCTCCTCCTCCGTCAGGTTCCGCATGCGCTCGATCTCCGCCTTCTCCTTCTCCATGCTGGTCAGGAGAGAAACCCCTGAGACCCCACAGCACCCTCCCAGGACAGCTGCTGTTGCCAGCTGCCACCCCGTACGTTTAGTGACTGTAGGGGAGCAAAGGCACCCGAGGGCGGGTGGGAGGGGCTTTGGGTGCTTGGTCTGGCTAAGACCATGCTGCCAAAGGGAACCCTGAGGAAAAGCCGCCTCAACTGCCCACGGGCCTGCAGGCTCTCAGCCTCGTGTCTATGCAGATGATACTTACGCTTCTCGTTCTTCACGGTCCCGTTTGATACGCTTCAGCTCACGCACTTTCCAGGCCTCATACTCCTCCTCATCGTTCTCATCATCTGTATCAAGTGCATCCAGTGCTGCCAGCGAGCGCTTGTTCTCCTCCAGCTCCTTCTTTGCTTCCTCTTCGACGATCTGCAGCAAGGAGCAGGCTAAGCTTGCTGCAATGCCTGCCGCCCCCCCGTGCGACCCTCAGCCCGCCCCTCAGCACCTTGAGTGTGTACTTGCGCCTCTCCTCCGCCAGCCTCTTTGCCTCCTGCTCCAGCTCCTTCTGCTTCAAGGCTTCTGCTTCTCGCTCCTGAACTGTGATCCGGTCCTTCCTGCGGGCAGGGACCACAATAGCCTTCAGCCTTTCCGTAAGCCAGCACATCCACTTGGCTCCTCACAGACATCTCCCCCCTACTGCACTGCAGCC